CTTACCATTTCACCTGTATCATCACTTCCTTAAATGTAAGTTGCGGAAGATATGTGACAATGTGACATACCCATAGCATGTTAGCATGGTGCAGAAGTGCAAGGGATTACATTGAAGAATATTTTAACTTTGTTTTATTATTTTATTTATTTTGCTTTCTGAATAATCTTAAATACAGAATGTAAGTTGGAGAACTACAGTTCTAAAAAACAGAATACAGCATTCAGATTCAGCTGCATCTTCATTTTCCTTTATGCCTTAAGTGCTATACACAGACATTCTGGTGCGTAAGAGAACAAAGAAGTTGAAAGCCTTCACTTAGAAAGCTTCCTCTTTTTTTCTTAGTTGCAACCATAATTCTATGTACTGTTTAGATCCAAACAATTAGAAATTCAGCAACAGAAGATATTTATAAGTTACTTTCCAAAATGTAATTAAATGTTTTATTAGATTGTTCTCCATTTTAACCAGTTCTTTGGAAAAGCAGTCCCGTATTATGTTTCTTCTAAATCTATTAATTGAAAGATATTATGGTATTATCAACAGAATGCATTTTATTAGCTTTGTAATGATTCCTTCTCCCTCATGGTAATTTTACATAGCTATCTTAATCAATGTTACGTCATTATCTCTAAAAAGAGAGAAATTCCACTTAGATTTTAAAGTGTTTGTTGAATAGTCCAGTATATTATTCTAAAGAACATCTAGCTATCCATTCCAAAGCCAGTTTGTAAGAGCAACTTACAGTTGAGAAAGCTCTTATGGTGATTTTTGTGATTATTAATTTAGCTGCCCTGGAGCAGAAGTTTTAGATTAATAGCAGAAAAGGAAAACAATTTTAATTCTTTTTAGAACATAGCTCTTATGTTATAACTTAGTTGACTCTTTGAACGTTGTCTTTAGGAAACCTTCACACTCCCTTCCTTGGCAAGAGAGAGGGTTGCTTCAAATATTATCTCTTAAAATTATGTTAAAATGAAATACTTACTTCTTGGAGCACCTTAATAAGCCTCGGTAGGGAAATAGATGTATGATGAAGGGTGTCTCCAAACCACGTTTTTATATGTTGAAAAAAGGCTGGAAACTAATCTGGGAATAATGTGTATGATGCAAAAACAAAAATACAAACTGGAATGTGCCGTATGTCATTTATTTGGTCTGTACAACAGTTAGATTCCTTTCACTGGCATTTTTCTCCTTAATTACCTGTACTAACTGGCTATTTTGGTGAATTATATAACAAACCACCAGGAAAATTATACTTCTTTCTTTATATTCTTCCCCAAAAATCCAGTAAGGCAAGGCCTTGTGGCTCACGCCTGTAATCCTTGCACTCTGGGAGGCCAAGACTGGTAAATTGCCTGAGCTTAGGAATTTGAGACCAGCCTGAGCAAGAGCGAGACCCCTTCTCTAAAAGTAGCTGGGTATCGTGGCCCACCTGGTCCCAGCTACTCAGGAGGCTGAAGCAGGAGGATCACTTGAGCCCAAGAGTTTGAGGTTGCTGTGAGCCACTCCAAAGGCAACTCCAAAGGCAACAAAGTGAGACTCTGTCTCAAAAAATAGAAATAAAAAAAAAAAATCCAGTAATCCATAGAATGTATAGCCTATTTGCAGGTAGCACACACATTTTCTTCTTGAGCATATAACAACCTATTCCTTATACCAGGTTATACGTACAAGTTAGAAGATGGGTCTGGGATTAAATGGGGTCCTATCTAACCTTTTCAGTCACCCCCCTGAAGGCTTGCATCATTTTTTAGTTTCACTGAAAGAAGCACAAGGTAGACAGCAATTCCTATGTAGACTGCTGAAATTCTAGCAGTGGCTGAAAGCTTTGCCTGTTCTCCCATATTTTATACAAAAGCACTTTGTCATAACTAGATAGTTTTTAATAGCACCTTGTGGCTCATAACATGGACGATTTCAGGCCAAAGAGCTATCTCACTGAATGCCTGTTTTTAATCAGCACGCTCATTCTCATTTGAATGTGCTTTGCCTAATGAGTAGATTTTTCCAAGGGTAACTTCCTCTGTAAAGCAAGGATTTTCTTACCTCCAAGACATTACGCATGATATTATAATTATGGCTATGGCTTTCCATATGAATATTGTCCTAAATTCTTTAAAAGAATTGGAAGAAGGTAGCTAGCTCTTCAGATATGTATTTTAATGGTCATAACTATAGTCAAATCCTTTGTCTGTCTGTCCTGCAGTGACAGACCTCAGATAGCAATACAAAAAGGCCCCCAAATCAGGGACTGAGTGGCAAAAGAGAACTGGGAGAAGGAACTCAAATATTATTGATCACCTGCTATGTGAATATAAGGTACTTTTCTGTAGGCGCTCATTTAATTAGCTGTTGGCTGATAATTTACTCAAGAAAATAGAACATAGTAAAGATGGGCATAAAAAATTTTGACCACTGTTGCAAATGTCTCTGTGAATATGCTTAGAAAGCCTCCAATTTAATTTTTTCAGTAGTCTGTAATATGTAATGCCAAATGAACATAAACAGCCACCCATGTATGGTATACTACAATTTAAAAAATCTGTGTATACATACAAATGTAGAAAAAAGACATAGAAGGAAATTTAGTAATTAGCAGTGGTTATCTCCGAGCAGTAGGGAATGACATGATTTTTTCTTCTGTAAAGTATTCTAGATTTTATGTGGCACGTGTGCATTTTATATTCATAAAGAAGTTAAAAAAATACATAAATAAACTGAATTTTGTGTTCCTGAGTTTGACAGTAAACTCCCCAGACCAGTAAACTGACAAACAGAAAGTGAATTGGTCATATGAGTTTCTGACTACAGTAGAATGCAAATGTTCAGTTTTTGTATCCAACAGTCTATTGAAGTTTGGGGAGTGGGAATGGGGTCTTCCTCTGTACTTTGTGGTGATACTTTTATTTTTTTTATTTCAAATTAATACGAGGGTACAAATTTTTAGGTTACATTGTTTTCAGTTCAACATATAGTTGAGCCCTTCACCCAGGGGGCATGATGAGCACCCACACATTGTGCACGTTAGGTGAAATCCTGCCAGTCACCTCCCCCTCCTCCCGCCTTCCTGCTCTGTCCTCTCCCCTGCCCCTTGCTAGACTATATTTGTATTTTAACATTCTTGTGAGCATGTAGTTGTTTATATATTGGCTTCATAATGGCAATGAGTACATTGGATTTTATTTTTTTTCCATTCTTGAGATACTTTACTGAGAAGAATGCGTTTAAACTCCATCCAGGTAAACACAAAAGATGTAGTCTCCATCTTTTCTTATGGGAGAATAGTACTCCATCGTATACATTTGCCACAGTTTGTTGATCCATTCATAGGTTGATGGGGATTTGGGCTGCTTCCACGACTTGGCAATTGTGAAGTGAGCTGCAGTAAACATTCTATGCAAATGTCTTCGTGGTAAAAATTTTTTTTTTCTTCTGGGTAGATACCTAGTAATAGAATTGTGGGATCAAATGGAAGGTCCACTTTTAGGTCTTTAATTTCTTACACCTAATCTAGACGATCAATAAGATTGACTTTGGGAGTGATTTAGCAAACAACATTGAGTAGGCTTTCTTGGTATGAATTACACAGAGAAGCAAGATTTTTTTTTTTAGAATTTGAAATAAATTAGTCCGATCCTGTATAAGTAGTACATTTTAGGCATTGCTAAAAGATAAATACACTATTCAACTGCAGACATAAATGAGACTTTATGGTGAAACACATAATTTTAAGGATACTGAAGATTAGAGGAAATGTGTTTGACGTTTTTTGATTATTTAATAGCAGTTACTATACATATAGAAAAATTTATTGTTTCTATATAGTAAGAGAAATATTAAAGGCATATTAAAAGGCCTACTTGGGCTGTTTTTAGAGTCAAAAGAAGACACATTAAGAGTAGCTGCTGGGTAGGTAGGAAAGCATAAAATCTTGGAGAATTTTGGATATTAGAAATGCCATGTGGTGGTAGTAGACTAATTACAATATTTCTCTGAATAAAATGGTCACCACAGCATTAGTAAAATAAATTGTGAAATAACAAAGTAAGGAATTAAAAATTAACCTGTTTTCTATTCAGTAACTTGGGGGATGGTTTGGGAAATTCTGTGGATGCAGAGAACCAGTAAGTCATGTATCCCCTACTTGAAAAACAACTTGTAAAATAAGATATTATATATTATGTATTCAAATACCATATATAGTATAATGTACTATATAATACCATATAATATTTACTTTATTTCTTTGTGATTCTGGAACAGTACTCAAATAAATCATTTTACTTTTGCATTGGGGTAAAAAGACTAGATTTTTAACCTCGAATCAGTGTAGATATAAATTTCTGCAATTGACAAAAGTATGTATCGTACTTTCTTTGGCAGTTTTTATGTATCTACAAATTAGGTTTTATTTTTTCTAAATATGTTTTAAGTTTTTCATTCTTTTTCTCCCTAGATTACCCTGATTTTCTCCATGAAAGTCTTAAGTCTGTGCTGTCTAATATGGTAGCCACTAGCCACATGTGGCTTTTTAAATTGAAAATACAGCAGAACCTCCATAGCTGACCATCTCCCTACATTGACCACCTCCTTGAGTTTACCTAGTTTTCATAGCCCAGGCATGGACCAGTTGTTGTACGTGTGAGTACAGTAGGCCTAGTGCCTCATGTTGACCACCTCATGTTGATAAGTTGGTTATGGTCTCGTGGGTGGTCAATTAAAAGTAAATAAAGTTCAAAATTAAGTTTCTCATTCATAGTAGCCACATTTCCAGTGCTTACCAGCTACATGTGCCTGGTGGCCACTGTAATGGGCAGCACAGATTATGGTATTTTTCCATCTTTGTAGAAAGTTCATCTGGATGGCACTGATCTAAACTGTCAGGACAATTTGAAAATTCTTTGGGCATGTCTTCCTGTGTCTCAGAGTATGCTTATCTTATTTCACTTACATTTTCCTCTTCTATTATTTCATTTTACCTTTCTGTTTTTCAGTTTAAAAGGATGCTTAATCGGGAGCTCACCCATCTCTCTGAAATGAGCCGGTCTGGAAATCAAGTGTCAGAGTATATATCAAACACATTCTTAGGTGAGAATAACAATATACAATTAAAAATTTTTATTTCAGGTATTTACTTATTTGTTTGGGGAGGGGGATTGGAGTACCAGCTCATTTTTGAAACTAAACGAGTATTAGAAATTCTCTTTGTTTTTATTTATCATTTCAATAATTTGATCCTAGAAGCAATAAAATCTAAGATGACAAAGTACTTTTTTATTTAGCTTTATTTAGGACTTCAGGGGTTCTCTGAACTCAAGTTGTACATTGCATTTATTTTTCATAGTGCCAAACTGTAAACTATACTTTACAAAAAAGATCTATTCATGTGTTCAGTAAGTTCTTGTTGAATATCAGCCATTGCTGGACAATGGGTATTTAATGATAAATTAGAAATAATTTCCTTCCTCAATGAGTTGACAGTCTAATGGACACTAGGCCTGGTAAACCCATGGGGAGATAACAGCATAGTTGCTAAAGAAAAGTTTGCAGATTAGGATACCAAGTGTGGTATCTTGGGACAAGCCTTCTACCCTTCCACAGAAAGAAATTGCAGTAAGTAAAAGTCAATAATTTGAACATCTCCTTGGTTTGGATTTACCTTCAAAACCAAAGTGCCATAATACCTAATTGCCAATTTATTCAGACATTTATCAGACATGTACTGTGTCTAAGGATGAGTTAGAGGTGCTCACTGCCTTGAAATAGTAGGTGAAAGTTTTGAGACATCTAAGTGTTTGGCTGCAGAAAATAACAATTAGCATATGTGTATATATCCACTATCATACACTGTCTGAGATTTGGTATTACCCGTAAAACCTGGTTATAGCATAACCCTTACCACACTACAATATAGAAATTTTAAAAAAGTAGTAGAATTAATCCAAGTCTTTAAAAAGGCTGTTTCAAATCCGACAGTATGACCATTTCAGTTATGGCTCAGGTTTGTATACCGCTGGGTTTTATGACATGTGTATGAAGTCTCTACCACTTCAAAGTACATGTTGAAACTGGAGTCCTTAGTTGGCAAGGGCAGTTTTCAAGCCACTGAGTGAATTTTAGAAAGGAATGGAAATGATAAACAGTGGAAAGAACCACCTGTTTTGTTTTCTCCCAATCTGGTTTTGTAAGTGTTGCAAAATTTTTTATTAGGCCATTCTATCAAAGAGATAACCATATTAGTTGTCCTTTAGTGGAATTTATTTGCTTAATTTTGAGTTCAAAGATAGCAAATTGAACCCACATCAAATTGAAATAATTTTCTAAAAGGAAAAGTTCTATGTGGAAACATTTCCTGCAATATGTATAATCAATTACAGTCCATCCAGTTTTGCATACTGTGGTAAAAAAGATAGAATTAATAATACATGTACAACATTTTCTAAATTTCTCAAGATAAACAACATGAAGTGGAAATACCTTGTCCAACTCAGAAGGAAAAGGAGAAAAAGAAAAGACCAATGTCTCAGATCAGTGGAGTCAAGAAGCTGATGCACAGCTCTAGCCTGACTAATTCAAGTATCCCACGGTTTGGAGTTAAAACTGAACAAGAAGATGTCCTTGCCAAGGTATGATGACTTCAGAGATGACGCTCATAAGTATGCAGTGATGCCCTTGCATGAGTTTTGGTTTCTTCCCTTATAAATAGATGGAAGAGTTTATTAATTTGTGGGAGGGGTTTTGTTTTTATTTTTTGTTTCCACTTTATCGCCCTTAGTAGAGTGCCATGGCCTCATAGCTCACAACAACCTCAAACTCTTGGGTTCAAGTGATTTCCTTGCCTCAGCCTCCCAAGTAGCTGGGATTACAAGCTTCTGCCACAACGCCTGGCTATTTTTAGAGATGAGGTCTTGCTTTGGCTCAGGCTGGTCTCAAACCTGTGAGCTCAGGCAATGCATTGGCGTTGGCCTCCCAGAGTGCTAGGATTACAGGCATGAGCCACTGCACCCAGCCTGTGGGAGGGTTTTTTTGAAGATGGAAAAGCACTTTAAAAAGTTCTTTGTAAAGTATTTGGATTTTATTGATATAGAGATTTAGATAAGTGATTTGATATATATGTTTGTTTGTTTTCTTGCATTTTTTATTTGATTGTTTGCCCTTAAAGAGTTGGAAATTTGGTGTGTCTTCTGGGTTTTAGGAGACTAGTTAAGACTTCTGAGTAGATTTTAGCCATTTAAGAAAGCTTTGATATTTAAAGAATATAAATGTGTTGTATCGTCATAGTCATTAAGTTAAGCAAATACTATTCAGTCTGTACTACATTCAAATGCATTGGCCTAAAGTTTACCTATACTCACATGGTGCATGCATTAGATTCAAAGTCAATCATTGTTTTAAAAAAAATTCTTAACAATCGTTATATTCAAGTCAGCAATATATATATATATATATATTTTTTTTTTTTTTTTTTTTTGAGACAGAGTCTCAGTATAATGTTGCCCTCAGTAGTATGATACTGCATCATAGCTCACAGCAACCTCAAACTCTTGGGCTTAAGCAATTCTTTTGCCTCAGCCTCCCAAGTAACTGGGACTATAGGTGCCCACCACAATGCCTGGCTGTTTTTTGGTTGCAGTTGTCGTTGTTGTTTAGCTGGCCTGGGCCAGATTCAAACATACACCCAGGCTGGCATGTAGTTAATGCCAGCCTAGATGTATGTGGCCAGCGCCCTACCCACTAAGCTACAGATGCTGCCTCAAGTCAGTAATTTTTAAACAGTTGTATTCACGTTCTACTTCCACTTTCTCATTTTTCTGATATTGTTTTCTAACCTCAGGAACTGGAGGATGTGAACAAATGGGGTCTTCATGTTTTCAGAATAGCAGAATTGTCTGGGAACCGGCCCCTGACTGTTATCATGCACACCATTTTCCAGGTACCGTAGTTAAGTTCTGTCCTATTTCTTTTAATCAGGAACTTAATGTCCAGGCCGTGGATTGTACATGCCCATTGTCTTCCTTCCTACTCATCCTCTTTTGCTTATTTTGATACTTTTTGTTCTTATTTACTCCTTTGCAAGGGACACATAAACAGAAAGGTGAAATGTGGGTGAAGTACACATAAATTATGATTTGGGTAACTTTTTGTATTGAAGAAAAAGGATGTGACGTGGGGGAGCTGAAGCAGTTCACTAAAATAAAATGTAGAAAATCACCTCCCTGACCCTGACTTTACATAGAGAATGGAGCACTAACTTTAAGAAATGAATGAGCTTCCTGCTGCCTTGCCTTAGACTTCAGTCACTTTCCCGTGTCCTGCTGTCTTCTCTACGTCCATTTCTCCCCCTTGTTGAGCCTTTGGCCCAGCGCAGGGTATTTAAATGAGAAGTTGAGGCTGTTGTACAGACCTCGGGACTGGAATGGTCATGCCAGCTCTAGAGAGAAAGTGAGTTTCGGTTGGTGTGATCCAGTGGCTGAGTCAATGACACTTGACGGAAGCCACAGTCGGACACAGAGACTTGTATAGTAGTAGCTCATTTCCACCACACACGGCATGGGGTCAGCACTGCTGGGCTCCAGGAGCAGAGAAGGAAACCCAACTCTGGTTTTGTCCCACAGTCTCCAGATCTTCCCAAAGGCTTCCATCTTCCATGTGAGAGTACAGTAGCTATTTGTGGGTTAACCTTAGGTAACACTGGTATGTGATTTTTTTAACATACACTATGGGAAAAACTTTTTTTTTACATGAGAGGATTTCTTTTCCTACAGGAACGGGATTTATTAAAAACATTTAAGATTCCAGTAGATACTCTAATTACGTATCTCATGACTCTTGAAGACCATTACCATGCTGACGTGGCCTACCACAACAACATCCACGCTGCAGACGTCGTCCAGTCTACGCATGTGCTCTTATCGACACCCGCTTTGGAGGTACATCTGTCTTCTGAAATTGGAAGAACACTAACTTTCCCCTCATAGAAGCTCTTAAACTTTTATACTGAAGGGTTGGCAGTGAAGAAAATAATTGGATTTATTGGAAGTATTTGGACTTACATGGAGAAAAAAATATTAACAGTTGTTAGTAAACAGTGACGTCTTAGATGCATTTTCGCCTGTGAACATTGGCCAGAGATTTAGTGATTCATCTGTTTCTAATACTGTTTTTTTGAACACATAGACATTTCATATAGTATATCTGGCTTACGCACTTTGGGTTAGTTTTTTTCCTTGAAATGTAGTCTGATAGCTTTTATAGTTACAGGTCAAAGGATGACTATTTCATAAAATATAAGTAATACATTGATATTTTCCTAGAATTTACTAGGAGGAAACACTTTTAATTTTTACAGTATGATTTCCCTTATCATTTGGGGGAAAGATGCTCTTTTTGCTAATGTATTTGTTTTCATTATAAAATTGTGTTACAGTTGCTATCTATACTGTCTGATTTTCCAGGCTGTGTTTACAGATTTGGAGATTCTTGCAGCCATTTTTGCCAGTGCAATACATGATGTAGATCATCCTGGCGTGTCGAATCAATTTCTGATCAATACGAGTAAGTAAAGTTTCTTTGTGTGTGTGGAACACATTTTTCCTTTGTATATTATAGAATGTCTGAGGGTGTTTCCAGAACAATAAAGTCCTTTTGAGATAGGTAAATATGTGTTTTAATGATAAGAGGATATTCATGTAATTTAGCTCTGAAAATTTATCATTATGGTTAATGAGGCAAACGATAGTTGAAAAAGGTATATTCCAGTACATCTCTAAAAAAGTAAAAATAAAATGCCATTTTACTGGGCAAGGGTAATTAAGAGTGTACAGAAAGATTTAGGTAACTGTATTGCCCCTAAATTTTTAAATATAAAAGGAAACGGTTATGAGAAGTAATGTTAAAACCTTCCTTACTTTAATAGGACATCATTTACTCCTCAGAGGTCATGCAGCGTCCCTTCTATGTCACCATACGGAGCCCTGTTCTTTCCTTTTTAAAACCTCCTAATGACAGTAGCAGGAACTTCTCTCTTAATGTAACAGTTTTTAACCATTAAATTTTTTTTCACTGGTGACAGCTCACTGTCTAAGAAGCCACCGCTGAATTTGGAAATACAAGGAGTAGTAATGACCGTTTAATATGGAACATCTCTCACAGGCAGCTGCACCGAAATCCTCTGGAGGAAATGTTTAGGGGACACTTGAGCTCTGCCTTTATAAAGAGGTTTATGTTAAGAGCAACTCTAGTACTTGCCGGTTAACTGCTAAATGATTGACCTGAACTATGACTTAACTCCCTCCCCCTGTGGTAGATTAATATAAATTTAGTTTCATATATGAAAAAATAAAATGCAAACTTAGTGAATTTTTTTTTTCAGTTTGTTAAGAATCTGCCTTCCCCCCCTCACTGATCTTCTAGGTAGCAGTCTCTTCATGCCGCATAACAGCTCGGCTACAGGATGGCCTGTGAATCCATTCACCATTCATTTCCTATACTTTGCTGTAATCAGATGTAAAGAAAGAATTTCAATGTAACCTTGATTTGAGAGACTTAACTCAGACCTTTAGGATTATTTAGGATCTATTTTTATATCTTTTAAAACCCTCTGGACAACCCTATTGCAAAATGCACATCAGTGACTCACCCACATAGGGAGGACTGGGAAAGTCAGGATTTCCTGAGACGTGTGGTTGCTCAGGTACATTGTAGAAGTTTAGTTTAGGACCTTATTTATCCATATTACACAGGATAACATTTCACTTTCCAGCCACCTCATGAGGACCTATAGTGGGGCACTTTCAGAACACACCAAAGCATGTACATGAGGATGAATACACACTGGATGCCGCTCCTGGGTTGTGTCAGTGATGTGGGTTGACTGTTCTTTCTGAGAGGAGCCGGGGTGGGGGTGGGTCATATGGTCCAATGAACACTGGGACTTCTCATAAGCCTGAGCTGATGTATTATTTTAATGCCTATGCATGCCTTGATAGTTTCCTAATTTTGTAGATTTTTTTCTAACAAATTCATGAAGTGTTTGTTTAAATCTCATTTTTTGTCCTTAAGAAAGATTTTCCTCTTGGTGACACCAGACAGTCAGATGGATAAGTTTTCTTTGCATCCCAGTCTGTGCCGTATTGTGTGTTCCTTAATCATAGCATCAGAATTAAGAATAGCATAGAGGACAAATTAAAACAATTCACAGCAAAGTCACTGTCTTCCCTGTACTGCAACCAGCTCTGTCCCTCTTCCTTGTGAATCCTGTGAGGGTTTGGGCTCAGGCTCGCCCCTGACAGACGTCTGGGTCCCTGTGGAGTCTGTGGTTTGAACAGGAAGTCCTCGGTCCACAGATGAATCTGACGCCTTCTGACGTTTCAGAGCCACTGAATAAGTGGAGAAAATCGGGGTGGTTTTAAATACAAGAAGAGTGGCCCGGATGTCTGTTAAAGGCTATTTTGTGAGTGACATGTCTGGGGGAGAAGAAGAGCTAATCTTGCTTCTGAAAGGGAGAGGACCAGGATAGAGTGGGGGAAGACTCAGTGAGAAGAAGAGGGATGGGAAAGGCTTTAATAGCAGAGAAAGGAGAGAGAGCAGAATAGAGTCTGACCAGGAGCCAGCAGGTTCTCACAGTCTCAGGGGGCTTCTGTTATCCCTTATCAGTAGGATTGAATGTGGGAGGGGGTTTCCCCCTGGGAGGCATCCCTTCTGCAGAGGGACTGATTTTTGTATTCAGGGCAAATCTAGGAGTAAGAGTTACTCCCTTAATTGGCCACAAGCCAGGGCCAGAGTAAAAGTTACCTGGTCTGTTATTTCCCAGGAACAATGGCTTTGCGGCATGGGGGGTTGCGGGAGGGGTTTGCTGTGATCCCAGTTTGGTTTCTGGCCTGCTTCTTCCCACTAGCTGCCTCCCAGATATGGGTGACGTGTTGTTGGGTTAAACTGTGAGTTTTAGAAGGCTATGGTATATTTTTTCTAGGCTTTCTTGCAGGTCTTGGGATAATGTGTGGGAAAAGTGCAGGGAAGACCCCCCGTGTCTGAGTCCTGTTCTAATTCCTGTGGTTATCTCCAGGGCAGTGAGGAGTGGGATTAGGATGGGTGTTCTACTGATCAGGAGGGGCAATGTTTATATTAGGAGATGGATCTGCAAGATGGCAGGTGCCTGTCTGGTGGGTGGCCACACACACAAAAATAGGCCTTTTCTTGTGTCAGACATGAGCTAAGGTGAACTGAAAAAAAAAAAGAAGAAAATTGTGAGTTCTCCGATTCTGTCCCGGTTTGTTCCTGAAAAGGAACTGGCAAGTGCTGCCCTGAGGAGAGGGTAGAGTGGCTCATGGGTTTGTGGGGGACAGCCAGGAGTGTGGATTCTGGGGAAGAGTTTTTGAGAATTAGGTCTAGGGTAAGAAGGAGGGCGATCATGGTGAAGTTTGGGGGGGTCCTAAGAAGAAAATCTACTGACATGAAATGACAATAATCCATTGACATGAGATGACAGAGTATAATCTACCTGTCAGGGTTAGGAAGTGTTGAGGGGGAAACTGTGATGATTTAGAGGTAAGGTATCTGGGACGGGCCCAGGGCCAGTGAGGATCATAGGAAGGGGTGCAGGGGTGAGAAGAAGGTTCATGGTTGATGTTACCATCCCAGAGATGGGAGTTACTGCTTAAGGGAGTGAGCAGATGTTTTCTGAAAAGGTCTGGGATAGTGAAATTGCTGTACTAGCTATAGTGGTGGGACAGTTCCCAAGCAGGTGTCTGCTCGGTCAGGGAAGTACGCTCCCTTCTCTTTGTGGTAGGTCAAGTGTACAGTGGATGTCCTTCAGCCATGATCTGGGCCTGGAACAGCAGTATATATGTTGCGGGGGGTGGGGAGGGACAAGCAGATCCAGCATCTGTGAGATAAGGGTGAAGAGGTTCCATTTATAAAGTCCTGTGTGAGATTGGTCGTGCTGAGTAGGTAGAGGTATAACCTCAGGGAAGTTTAAAGGACTGGAGAAGGGATTAGGGTGAGGAAGAAGGCAGTTTAACTAGAGGTAAAGTCTTGTTATGAGAAGTCTGTGAAGTCTCTCCATAGGTAAAAGTCCTGGAGAAGTGTGAGAAGGTTTTGACAGAAGAGGAGGGTTAGGGATAATTATAGCTGAGATCAAATCCTGTAGTCGTCCCAGGGAGGGCAAGCTGATGTGTAGTCTGACTGCTGTGAGGTAGTCAAGGGGTCATGCAACTTTGGGGATGAGGGTTTGGGGTGGAGGGTTTGGGGATGTACCCAATTTCATGATGGGGGGAGCTCGTTGACGTAATGCACTTTCTGCATCTCCCCAGCGAGGTTCCTACATGGCCGGTATCATTCGCTGTCTCAGGAAGTAAACCAGGAAAGTGACAGCAAGGAGTTTGACTTCTCACAGAAAATACAATCTCTTTGTCCCCACCAGGTTAATGTCTGGTGCTCTTCTTCTGATCACCTTGTAGTAAAAACGGAAGGGAAGAAACCAAGTTTTGGAATGTAATGTAAATCAAAAGAACTTTTTGTTAAGAATATTCCCTGCTACCTTAGGAGCCAGACACAGTGATGTCAATTAGGAAAGAAAAGTGGCTGGTGTTTTAAAAAGTAAAGAAGACCCTTTTTTTTCTTCTTATTCAGTTTTAAATGAGTAACTAACCTTATTTCTTTTGTTGAGTGCTGCTACCTCATCTCCAGGACACCCATACTTAGCAAGGGCAGTTTTTATTAGGCAAAAAGATAGAGAAACAGTTGCACAAACTTTGCATGTTAACTCTTTAGTGGCAGATTGATCTTTTGAATTCTGAACATTTTAGGTATTTACTCAGAAATGCAAGAGGCTTCAAACTGAAGATTTATAAACTTAAAAGAGAACTATGTTGTTTCAATTAGAGATTCTTCTTTCATTATAACCAACTTGATCACATACAAAATTCTATTAAAATTGTCTTTTACTAACCTAATCTTCACTACTTATACCAACTATCTTTCAACATGCTTGACCCTGTTTTTACAAATTACCAGTTATTTTAGGACAAAAAGTTTTCATATAAGATTCTTTTTTATATACAATTATTTTCTTTCTTTTCATCCTTCATTGTTAAAAATACATCTTCATACCCATGTCTTTCTACACGTCTCGCTCCCCAAATGGCTGCACTGCAGTTAGGGTTGTGAGGATCTCTTTCCCACAGAAAGAGCAACTCAGGGAAGTTCAGTTTCCAGAGCAGCTTTGGACTGCTGGTGTTTTGTTGAGGGTGGGGGATGATGAGGCCATTATTCCCGAGAGAATGAGTCAGTAATGTCATTTGGAGTGTGAGGGTATTCCGAGGTTGGTCAGAGCTTCCAGGATGTGTCAGAATGACTGCCTTAGTTGGCTTTTGACGAGGGATCCTATGAGCTAGAATGTTTTTTTCGGGACCCAGAAGACAAAAGAGACGTAGTTGCCAGTAACACACATAACCTTTATCCTCACAGCATGCAGTGAAAGAATCCTTCTAATAACTTATAAATTATAATAACTTTTTAAGTTTGTAATGAAAAGGTTTGTTGAAATACTCTATCAAAATTAATGTGTTTATTTTTAGTTTACAGTAAACCCTCTGTAAAAATAGACTGAAGTTTATATTTTCTCTGACTTTCATGGGTGGATTGAGAATCCGTGAGTCAAACTAGTACATACACTGTTCAGCTCCTGCCCTGATGCTGGAGCTGCTGACCTGTCCAAAGGCAAACGTTGAATCTATATTTCTTGTATTAACAAATTCTGACCGTCATCTTTATAAGCCCATAGTTGGGAGGTTACCTGTCTCATTTTAAGGGGGTTACAAAGGTGCTACAACGTTTGGGGACATGTCCTGGGTTATGTGGCTGATACAGAGGGGGTGCCAGGGACTCACCAGGCTGGTCCCCTGCGTCTTAGTTGGGATCCTAAGTCTTATTAATTATATCACTTGTGTCGGGTTTAGGTGCCACATGATTTGACTAATTTTATTGACACTCCTTATTAGTATGCAGGATATTATGAAAACAGAGAGATCTTTTCTACCTGGTAGAGTTGGTTAAGCTTTACTAAATGATTTGCAAATGAGCGGGAACTTAAACAGGATTTAGAGAAATGGAAATTCCAGGCAGGACACTGCCTAAGTCTTTTGTACACATATAAATAAACCTATAAAATGTAAATTACATCATAAAGTTTTGATTTTAACATGCCAGAGGTCATAAAATTGCATTTAACTTTATAAGCTTTATTTTCTGAAAAAAATAAAGCAGCATAAAAGGAATAAAATATATATAGCATTAATTTTTACCTGGAAAATGAGTTATTTTGTGGCAGAGAAGTTTGGGGGAGAAAGATTTATTCACATTAGTCATATGGTCAAAGCATAGTCTCCGATTTTCAAGAACAGAGGCATTTCGATATGCTGAGGCGATGCTGGTCCAGCTACCAGAACACACATCTTCTTCATTTCTCTAATCTTACCTGGAAACAAACATTTTATAGCTATACTAGCAGGTAATAGAATTTTATTTTTCTGTATAACAGCTTTAGTATAAATTCATTTGTATCAAATATGAGTGTATGGCTATAACTACAGAGGTTGTTATTTTATTCAACAAAAATGTCTTGAGAGCCTACGGAATATCAAAAATTGTTCTAGGCACTAGGGACATGTGAGTGACCAAGAGAAAGCCCTGGCTCTCAAGAGCCTGCATTCTGCGAGAAAAGACAGAACATAATAAGAAGACGTGTGACAGGAGAGGGTGCTGAGCACAGTGAGGGTTGGGCATGCGGAGGGGATGAATTGAGAGGGTGAGCCATGCAGTTTTAATCCTTTGTCCTCGGCAACTGGATAGTATGTTAAAGCCACCACTTCCCACCCCTGTTTCAAGGACAAGTGCTTTGTTCAGAGTCCATTTAAAGACCTCTGTTGGTTTTCTTTTGTAGTTTAGAGACATGGCATAGCATGCTGGCGTTTTCCAACTCTGGATTAAGCCTAGCAAAGCTGTAAGAACAGGAAGAGGAATCAAAGATGTCCAAGCTTTTTTCCTTTCTTTTTTGTTTTTTGCAGTTTTGGCCAGGGCCAGGCTTGAACCCACCACCCCTGGTATATGGGGCTGGCGCCCTACTCCTTGAGCCACAGGCGCCACCCCCAAGCTTTTTTCTTTTTTGCTACACATTGGAGTGGTTAAGAATAGAGTTGTCCTGGGCCACATGTTAAGTGCACAAACACTGACAAAGCTGATGGCGTCCTATAATCCCCACAACAGTTTGGTGGGAATTGACCTCATTTAACAGATAAGACCAAAAGAGGAGAGGTGGACACCAGTTTCAAAGCCAGGTCTGTTTGTTTTCTAGGCTCATGATCATTTTGCCTCAAACACTGATGTAAGAAATAAGCATTGAACTTACTCCTGCAAGTGCTTTCTGTCAGGCGGATAAGCAGAAATGTGTATAGAATTTACAGTTTTTAGATATCAAAATATGGTAGATTTGAGACTTGACCGTGTTTGTCTTGTTATAGAGCACATGTCCCTCTTTCAACTTTAAAACTTTTTAAAAATATGTTTTAGTTAATCTCTTATAAAATGAATATGTCCATTGTAAAATGAAACAATATGGAAACTAAAGGAGAAAATAAAAATCACATGAAAAATTTCCCTCAAAGGTAATTTCAGCGAATATAATTTCTTCAGACTTATGTCTAAGCACATATGCATACAGATAGATATAAGCATTCAATTTTAGATATATATTAAAACAAAAACTATAGTTCCCCGTGCAAAGAAATGATAAACATTTGAGGTGCTACATGTCCCAGTGGCACTGATTTGACCATTATACATTGTGTGCATATATCAAAATATCACATGTACCCAATCAGCAAGTCCACCTGTTAGGTATCAGTTTAAAACATCATACTGTAGATGTTTTCTAAGACCTTTTTTGTCTGCTCAATAACCTGTTTTGGATATATTTCCTGTTAAAAATAGCTCAGTTAACTTGTCCCCTGTTAGAGAATGATAAGTTGTCCATTTTCTTTTGCTTATATTGCTTTGAACTGTTGTGATTATTTCAGAGGTTAATTTTTTCTTTTACATTTTGGTATATGCAAAATATATTTCATATATTGCTTCTGTGGCCCTCCAGAAAGCTTATAACTATTTACGTTTTCACCAATAGTCTGCCCTTTCGCCCATACTCTTGCCAATTCTGATATTAAATTTTGAATTTGTTTTTATGTTGTAGGGCTCTTTCCATTAGTTCCCCGTTATTTAAAAGTATCTTTGGTAATAAGCAATTCAACATAAAGTTTTTTTAAAAAATCAACTTAACACAATCAATAAATACTTAGTGTTACCTACTATTTTCCCTCAGTGTGTGAGGTACTGCAGTCGTAGTAAAGCATAAAAAAGAAGCTGTTTGCCCTCAAGGGATTTGCAGTCTAAGACAGAGTTCTGTGGTTACTTTTATAAGTCAAGTTGACTGGGTTAGAGGAGGCCCAGATAGCTAATAATACATTTTGGCATGTTTCTGTGAAGGTATTTCTGTAAGAAATTTGCCTGTGAATCAGTAGACCGAGTAAAGAAGATGACTCTCATTAGTATTGGGAGGCATTGCCCAATACATGGAGGGCCCCAAATAGAAGAATAGAACACACAATGGGAGGGGAAGAAAAAATTCTTTCTCTTTGTGAGCTGGAATATCTTCTGCCCTTGTGCATCAGTGCTGGGCCTTCAGACTGAAACTGAATTATACCACTGGCTTTCTTGGTTCTCCAGCTTATAGAGATAATAATGAAACCTCTTAGCTCCATGATCACCTCAGCCAAATCCATACATATATAAAATCTCCATCTTACTGGGTTTTTCCCTCTGGAAAACCATGGGGAGAGAAGATTAACATGGTACATGCCCTCTGTTATGTAATGGTACCTACCTACCCTCTACTGCTATTGTATAAGAACTCAGAAGAGAGGGGCACACAAACAAAGGTGGTCTTGCTTTCGTTATTAGTGTATGTTAAGCAAAATTTATCCTGATGATCCAGGGTAGTTTTGATAAATGTGCACAATTGGTTTCTGTAGAATAAAATATTGGCATTGTGTTTATAAAGGTATACATGGTCCCTCAATAAAATAGCATAAACTTATATGGTTATTAATATGGCCAGGCATTGAATGGATTGCATTTATCATTTCCTGGTTTATGTTTATTGTTCACTGTTCAATGTCATTGCCCCTATAAAGCATTTGTAATAATAGGTAGTATAAGAAGAGAACTCTAGAGACTGCCTAGTTTTAAGTACTTACTATCCCCAAGTCTTACTGACACTGGCAAAGTTACTTCCTTAAGGCTCATTTTTATCCTTTGTAAGTGGCAATAGCAATATAATCTTCCTAAAACTGTGAGGATCAAATGAAGTAATGCACATAAACCACTTAGTATGATGCCTGGCACTCAAATCCTCCAAATCCGTGGTCCTCAACCCCCAGGTCACGGACTAGTACTGGTCTGTGGCCTATTGGGAACCAGGCCACACACAGCACTGCCTTATCTCCACCTCCTGTCCCATGGCGTGCCCACTCCACCACCCCCCCCCCCCGCAATCTGTGGGAAAATTGTCTTCCATGAAACCAGTCCATGGAGCCCCAAAAGTTCTGGTCCATAGCTTGTTAGGAACAGGGCCACACAACAGGAGGTGAGCGGCGAGCAAGCAAGCGAAGCTTCCTTTATATTCACAGTGCTCCCCATCACTCACATCACCATACCTGAGCTCTGCCTCCTGTCCCATCTCCCCCCTTCCTCCCATCCGTGGACAAACCGTCTTCCATGAAACCAATCCCTGGTGCCAAAAAGGCTGGGGACTGCTGCTCTAAGTGCTATGCTTTTATCAAGGCTAGAATAATGCTTGGGTTTTGGTTATTGCCTAAGTGTGCTAAAGCCTCCCAAGAGTAACTGCTGACCTTATTTGCTGGTGGTGGCCCTCATGGCACAGTCAGTCACCAGGTTAGTGATATGGCTTCAGATTGACATATGCAACTGTTAGACTCACTTCTATCCACAGGTCAAGGAAGGATATAACCGGTTCCTCAGAAGCCCTCTATTGTAAGAATATGTAGATTTTCCATAGAGTGCTGTCAAGTGGCTTTAATTTTACTCTTACCTTCCTGATTCTGTGAAATAAGGCTAACTTTTTCTTCTTGATAGTCTTTGTTGGGTTCTAAAGAGTTCAACAAATGAATCGTGTGCCTCTTATGTGGTAGTCACTGTTCTACACCAGGGAACAGTTTCCACTATAATGGGAGATAACTAGAAAGGTAATAAACATAACTTCTTAGTTGGAGTGAGGTTATAAGGGTGGTTGAAACCATAAAAATAAGTAAAGAAATATTATACTCTATTATATTATATTCCTCTCTATACCTTTTAGGTTAAAATAATTGAAGTACACAGAAGAAATAAGACAACCAAACATTTTAAATTATTATTATTTGAATTTCATATAGGGCGTAAGTCTCTAAGTAGGTTAGGAAGTTTGGGGAGGGGCTGTTAAATGTTTTGTATGGAGATAAAGACAAATGAGGTGGAAGGCAATAAATGCCAGATGCATGGTTCAAACTAATATCGGAGTTTACAGGGAAAAAGAGAATAATTCAGCCTGTGATGATCAGGAAAAGCTTCATGAAAGAGGCAACTTTTACTGGACTTACAGATGAGGGGGTTTCAACAAAAGTGCAGTATAAGCTAATCTTTCTGCCCCTTCGTGCTATGCATTGTGTCAAATTATAAAGACAGCTTGCACCTTCATGGACTCTACTTAGAACTACTATTTATCATCTGTGGTAAAAAGCAAACTGAGGGGCTGCAGGGTCTTACCCCTCGCCCTGTTTAAATGTAACCACATGCATCAGTCTTAAAGAGTGGAAAGTTAAATGGCTACCCTGAGAATCAGTTTCTTAAATGCCAACATTTGTTTATTTAAAAATCAAGAGTCACTACCACCTCCCTATAACAGCTTGAGAGATGGAAGAGGCTGTAGAGGGAGGCCAGTCCAGTAAGGATTTGTCTCGTGGTTTTTCTTCCCAATCTGGACTCTTAAATGTCTGGCGATAACTGTGTTTCCAAGACAGCCTTAGCCCTATGTGAAAGGCCCTCCCTATGTTGAGTAGAACTTAAACTTTCTTTTGCAACTTCCACCCTGTAGATGAACCTTTTCCTTGAAATGAAAGTTCATCTTCTTGTTTTTCTTCTGTAGGCTCAACAGCCTTCATTTCCTCACCTTTCTTCAGGGAAATATAAATCAATTAAGGTTTTCGTAAGGCCATGGCAGTTCTCTTAATGCCACTTGTCCACATGCATTTTTATTCCCTTAAGAGAATCCTAATAGGTTAAGTAGGCGTGATTTCTCCAGTTAGAAAACAATATGGCTTCCTTTCAGTCTATCTTTATTTAGTATGATAGTACTACAGTAATGTCATATGCTAAGATTCTGTATAGTTTTAAGATTTTAATTTCTATATGCTTAGCCATCTGTAAAGTTTCATTGTTTCATAATTAGAGGCTTATATAGACTCTAAAACTTAACCCAATACTGCCTTTTTAAAAATTAACACTAAAAGTAAATAATAATAATACCTTATGCACTCACTCCCTATTAATCTAGACATTTCTATTCCTGTAGTTCAAGAGCCAAATTGAGGTGTGCAAATTTCCACTTCTGTAGTTCTGATAAAATCATAGAATTTCCTAGTGGAGACATGCATTGAGCCTCTCCTCTCCTCTCCTCTCCTCTCTAGCTCCCTTTAAAATAGCCAGGGAATAGTACTGAGTATTTCTTTCTTAGAAAAGGAAGTATATTTTCTTTTCATTCGTCAGACAAAAGGTCAAATCCATGTGCTTTTAGTCTTTACAATGACCTAATGGAAACAGAATAAAGCACCAGTCAATTTTTTTAATGACTGCCTTATAGATCTAGGTCTGCTATTGACAGAAAGTGGGGAAGAGGCAGGATTTCTCCTGGCCTAAAACACGCAGGTGCAGGGCAGTAGTGAGTGGCAGCGTCTTTGTGAGGGGGATGTAAACACTAAGCGCAAGGTCTCTGTGAAGCCATAGGCAAGAGCAGGAAAAGCAGTACACTTGTAGAGTTGGCAGTGATGCCACCACACTTGGGAAAGAAAGTGGGAAAAATGAATAAAGTCTACACTTAGTGAGCGATCCTGTGGAAGAAAGTAAAAGCAACAAGAGCAAACTAACATTGTTCATATGTTCCAAACTGTTAATATACTGTCTCTGAGCACAGACAATCTCATCTCACGTTGTCCTTACATTATATGAACTGCAGTGTGGGTAATCCACAGTGATCAGGACTATAACACTTTCTGCTCTGGGCACGTTGCAGATGTTATGTGTAATGTCTCATATTGCTGAATGTATGGCAACTTTATAGGAAAGGTAATTCAATTTTTCTGCTTTAGAAGAGAGGAAAGTGATGCCCACAGAGTAAAATGTTCCGCTACATGTCAGTCGTGTTAGAATTAATTCCCAAGATTCCATTGTTCTTTCGGCTCTTAAATTATCCAACACGTTCTCTCCTGCATATTGTCTTGTAAGGGTAAGGGCTGCAGAGAGGGTTAGGAGAAATTGCATCCTAAACCCCAAGTATCATAACATTGGAAGAATAAGATAAATGTCTTATAAACAGCCTTGCTGACCTTCTGCCTCCGTTATCTTCCTTTCAGACTCTGAACTTGCCTTGATGTACAATGACTCCTCTGTCTTAGAGAACCATCATTTAGCTGTGGGCTTTAAGTTGCTTCAGGAAGAAAACTGTGACATTTTCCAGAATTTGACCAAAAAGCAAAGACAATCGTTAAGGAAAATGGTCATTGACATTGTAAGTAGCTGATAAAAGCAAAAAAAAAAAAAAAAAAAAATGAGAGAGAACTTTGATGCAAGGTTGTTGTTTTGTTTTGTTTTTAAAGTAAGAATGAGATGAGTATCAGCTAAAAGAAGCTGCATTTCAAGATCTATTGTTGCCCTTTGCGTTCTAGGAGCTGCCCCTGCTGCAGGCCAGTGCCCCAATAGGTTTTCCACATGTAGCAGTTTGGACTTATCTCCTGACTGCTCGCCCTCACCACTTGGGTTTTTATTTTCTGAGCCCCTCCGGTCTAGTGGCGGGCAGAGAAACATGACTAACAAAAGCAGAGGGTGTGGGCCCCAGCTCTGCTGGGTGTGTTTCCATCAGTTCACAGTGCCATTTACTATAAGGTCAGGCCACCCCTGACCTTACTGTTTTCTCAATTCATATGATTCAAAGGAGAATCTCTGTTTATCAAAACTTACTCTGTTAGGCTCAGCGGCTATAGAGTGCCAGCCACATACACCGGAGCTGGCGGGTTCGAATCTAGCCCAGGCCTGCCAAACAACAGTGACAACTACAACTAAAAAATAGCTGGGCGTTGTGGTGGGCACCTGTAGACCCAGCTAGTTGGGAGGCTGAGGCAAGAGAATCGCATAAGCTCAAGAGTTGGATGTTGCTGTGAGCTGTGATGCCACAGCACTCTACCAAGGGTGACATAGTGAGACTGTATCAAAAAAAAAAAAGAAAAACTTATTGTGTTAAATTACGTAAATCCCAAGGCAGGAATTATCTCCATCTGGGATAAGCAGAAAATCAATCAGAATATTCTGTTTCTGAAGCAATCCATCATAGTCTAATAACCGCTTTCTAGTCCAAGGAATGGGAAAACCTTCAGAACACGTGCTGCCATATCATTTCATTTTTCATCATGAACATGGTCGTCAGTGCCTGATGTTTCCGTATATTTCACACATTAACTTGACAGCAAAGAAGAAAAGACTTTGCTCCCAAGAACGAGTGAAGAATTTCCATACGCTGTTACTAGATAGCATTGTGGTTTTCTGTTCCTTCTGATATTCTGCATAATAGTTTCATGTGCAAATTCCGACATTTTCCTCTGGCCTTTACTTAATAAAACACTTTGTCTTTTAAGGTACTTGCGACAGACATGTCAAAGCACATGAATCTCCTGGCTGATTTGAAAACTATGGTTGAAACTAAGAAAGTGACAAGCTCTGGAGTTCTCCTCCTTGATAATTACTCTGATAGGATTCAGGTAAAGCCTTTCGAGCGTCTCTGTGTGTGTGCTGTGCGTGCGCAGTCGCGTCTGTGTGCTCAGCTTTGATTGAGGTTTATTTCTCCTTTCTCCCACCTTATACTTTTAGTGGTTATAATCAGGATTTTAATACAGATTCTTATTCCTGAGACTCCACCATGTAAAATCCTACTGGTCTTTTCATTAGCGTATGTGTTAAAAAAAAAAAAAAAAGAAACCTAACATCCCTCAAGGCCAACCACTTAAGCAGCTCAGAATTTAATCAACTATGCACATAAACAATTTCTGTTAGGATATTTAGATGTGATGGAAGTGGCATCATTTGGAACTATTAATACAAGTGTGAACCACACACAGACACATCATGGTTGAGCTGTTTAGAATAAATCTTACACTACATGTATTTTTAAGTGTCACAGTCATCCCATGTGAATTTCTAGTTAACAAAAAAAAAAAAAAAGGAGCAGATGCTGAATAGAGAATGTGTCCGTCTGTTTTAGGTCCTTCAGAACATGGTGCATTGTGCCGATCTGAGCAACCCAACCAAACCTCTCCAGCTGTACCGCCAGTGGACGGACCGCATCATGGAGGAGTTCTTCCGCCAAGGAGACCGGGAGAGGGAGCGTGGCATGGAGATAAGTCCTATGTGTGACAAGCACAATGCATCTGTGGAGAAATCACAGGTAAGGCACGAAGCATAGACCTTCCAGAGAGAGCAGAGATACAGGGTTAGCATTTGATCACTTTGTATTCACATCTCACAGTATTCAATTGGATTTTTAAATTACTTTGATTTTTGGCCAGCTCAGTTTCACCTGATTACAATCCAGGAAACTTTCATTCTACAGCTTATGTTCATAGAGCCGTAGGTACATTCTTACGACATTACATTCATGCATTATGACTGTCCCATTTAGTATATTCACACACACAGGAGTTCATGGCATTATGTCGGTTATTGGGATTCACCTACAAACTGGCCATTCTAAAATAAGGTCCAAGGCCCAAGCTCTACCCTGTAGACATCTAGAAAAATTTTTACATGGTAAACATACATTTGAACTAAGAATTCTAGAAGTTAATTTCCACCAGCTAGTCTGATGCTTTTATATGATCTATTGTCTGAAATAGTGACTGTTTCATCAAATTAAGATGAATAGTCTTCTGTTCAGTGTTTTATTTGTGGGCTGTGACCTAGGTAACTTCTCCCAGTCCTTTCTTAGTCTCACATCCTCTACTCATATTGGATCTTTTTCATAACTAGGTGGGCTTCATAGACTACATCGTTCATCCTCTCTGGGAGACGTGGGCAGACCTTGTACATCCCGATGCCCAGGACATTTTGGACACTTTGGAAGACAATCGTGAATGGTACCAGAGCACAATCCCTCAGAGCCCCTCTCCTGCACCTGACGACCCAGAGGAGGGTCGGCAGGGTCAAACTGAGAAATTTCAGTTCGAACTGACTTTGGAGGAAGACGGCGAGTCAGACACAGAAAAGGACAGTGGGAGCCAGGTGGAAGAAGACACTAGTTGCAGTGACTCCAAGACTCTTTGTACTCAAGACTCGGAGTCTACTGAGATTCCCCTTGATGAACAAGTTGAAGAGGAGGCCGTGGGGGAAGAAGAAAGCCAGCCGGAAGCTTGTGTAATAGATGATCATTCTCCTGACACGTAACAGTGCAAACACTTTCATGCCTTTTTCTTTTCTTTTTTTTTTTTTTTGGTAGAAAAATTGTTTCCAAAGTGCATGTCACATGCCACAACCACGGTCACACCTCACTGTCATCTGCCAGGACGTTTGTTGAACAAAACTGACCTTGACTATCCAGTCTGGCGCTCAGGAATATCGTAACCAGTTTTTTCACCTCCATGTCATCAGAGCAAAGTGGACATCTTCATGAACAGCATTTTAACAAGATTTCAGCTTGGGAGAGCTGACAAAGCAGATAAAATCAATTCCAAAACGTTTTCAAGGGAGCGTGGCTCATCAGGCAGCCCTGAGATTTTATTTTATTTGTTTGCAATATTTTCTGAAGGAGGAAGGCATTTCACCAAGTGAACTTCGTGGGTGAAGCAACAGATACATCAAGAAACAGGACACAGCATCGATCTGTCTCCCGAAGGAGGAGGAGCCACAGAAATTGCATAATTTTCTAATTTCAAGTCTTCCTGATATATATGACTGAATAGTGTGGTTCAGTGAGCTGCACTGCCCTCTGCATTTTGTATGATATGTAAAACAGATTTTTTGTAGAGCTTACTTTTATTATTAAATGTACTGAGGTATTATATTTAAAAAAAAAAACAACAACTATGTTCAGAACTTCATCTGCCACTGGTTATTTTTTTCTAAGGAGTAACTTGCAAGTTTTCAGTACAAATCTGTGCTACACTGGATAAATCTAATTTACAAATTTTACTTGCACCGTATAGTTCATAGCAATTAACTGATTTGTAGTGATTCATTGTTTTATATACCAATGACTTCCACATTTTAAAACAGAAAAACAGCTTTACGTTGCAGGAAGCCCTTTTTGTAAGCCTTCATTCACGTTCTCTTTCTGTTTCACTCTTTCCAGATAAGTGGAGCTGCTCTCCGCTGACATTTTTTTTTTCCCATAGTGTGCAAAGTGAATCTTAGTTCTATGATGTGCGTAATGTCAAATGTGTCTTCATCATCAGTTGGTGTTGGAAACTCAGTCATCAGTTGGTGTTGTCTGAAGCAAGTGGGAGATATATAAATACCCAGTAGCTCAAACGGTCAGTCTCTTTTAGGTCTTTTCCTACTTAGTGTCTTCTGATGACTGTTTGCCCTGTCAGTAGACGTGCATTTCCCCCAGTGCATGTCCTTGTAATAATCCACGCTTTTCATGCTCCTTTTAATTGTTCTTACAGTTATAGTGAGAAAAATGTCTTTTCCTCTTGTGCTGCTTTATTATTTAGTGTGTGTTTGATCCCCTGTCCATGGTTGCTAGATGGGATCTTCTCAGATATATCACCACCATTCAGATGGATGAAAGAAGCAGGCAGGTAGGCCAGCTAGGGTCAGCATTCATTTCTACCATGAGCGGTCTATATGATTAGCTTTTATTTACTCTTGGTTTACAAAGAAAAGTTCACGACTGACTAGGCAGTTTTTAAGAATATTAACAGAATATACTAACAGACACCAGTGCAACTCTCTTTGGTTTCAGTGATTTCACCATGAGATTCAGAACTGTGTGCAGTAATAATCTCTCTGAGAATTTTAAGTATAGCAACTGCTCTTTTCTATTGGACAGCTGTGTGATTTGTAGGGACGGCTCTGTCACTCACCCTTGATTCCTAAGCGTGTCTTACAGAGGGGAACTACTTCCAGAAACACACCAAGGGAGAGAAGATGATGCCACTGGCACCAGAGGGTCGGTAAAAAGATTTTGCCTAAATAAGAAATTAGAGCTCACCCTTGTCTGATTTCAGCATCAGGAACTGAACTTCAATTTTAGAGATCAAGTCCCAGTTTTTACCTACTCAGAGCAGTTGGTTTCATGAGGCATTTAGTTTGGACTTTTCTTCTCATATCCGTTTTTAGTAAAGTGTTTAATAATACAGCTGAGAAAAACTGCAATCCTGAGAAACATTTATAATGGGAACTTCCAAAGAGCCTTGTGGGGACTAGTCACTGAGTTATCAGCCAGGGAAATGACCCAAACTAAAGACAGTTCCTGTTTTAATCCCCTGAGATCCAACCAATGGATGAACGGATGCTGAGAACATTTGATAGAAAAAATCCTGTCTTTATGGCTCTGATCTTTTACATAGGGCAGGATAGGAATCAACTAATTACTTACGAGATTTGCGACTTCTTTTCCCTGTAAAGATCCAAAGTTAACCTTCCAAATAAATACCTACGTTTGATCAGGTGGCGTCACAAGAAACGTTTGGGACCTTGTTTCTCTTTTCATTGTATTTGTCCCTGGTCTAAAAGGAAAGGAAAAGGAGTCTAGGGTTTATTCCTCTTTCCAAAACATCTTCATTCCCCCTGGTCCCCCCACCCCATATACTTGGTATTCCCCCCACTGAGTGCCTAGAATCTTAATAATGAAAAACAATTAAAAAGCAGCAATATGTCACTAACAAATCCAAACCTGAAAGGGTTCATAAGTGCACTAATAAAGAGAGGCGCCTTTTTCTAGTTTGTTGGTTTTTACTGGTACCATGTTGTAAAGTTACCCACCAATGGACAATCAAATTGCAGAAAAGGCTCACTATCTAAGAGACAGGGACTAATGCACTGCACAATCTGTTTCCCCTTGCCCTTGTCTTTCTCTCTCTCCTTCTCCCTCCTCTCTCTCCAAAGTGTGCTTCAGAAATACACACTGCTTTAAGAAGAGCACCCTTTTACAAGTGGCTTTATGTTTCCTAAAATGCCATAAGAAAATGCAATATCTGGGTACTGTATGGGGAAAAAAAATGTCCAAGTTTGCATAAAACCAGTGCATTTCAGCTTGCAAGTTACTGAACACCATAATGGCTGTTTTAATTTTCTTTTACGTCAGTTTAAAGAATTCACAAGAAAATAAGGTAGGTAGAACAAATTGCAGACAAGGAAAGAAAAAACTTGAATGAAATGGATTTTGCAGAAAGCTTTATTATAATTTTGAATGCATTATTTATTTTTTGTGCCATGCATTTTTTTTTCTCACCAAATGACCTTACCTGTAATACAGTCTTGTTTGTCTGTTTACAACCATGTATTTATTGCAATGTACATACTGTAATGTTAATTGTAAATTATCAGTTCTTATTAAAACATCATCCCACAATGGGATGGTGTTGATATATTTGGAAACTCTTGGTGAGAGAATGAATGGTGTGTATACATACTCCTTGTACATTTTTCTTTTCTCCTGTAATATAGTCTTGTCACCTTAGAGCTTGTTTATGGAAGATTGAAGAAAACTATAAAATACATAAAGATATATAAATTTAAAAACATAGCTGCAGGTCTTTGGTCCCAGGGCTGTGCCTTAACTTTAACCAATATTTTCTTCTGTTTTGCTGCATTTGAAAGGAAGGTAATGGTGGAACTAGGGCTGGGCATTTTATATCCAGGCATTCAGTTGATTGGCTTTCTGGCAACACAAAACCTGAGACAACTCTGGAAGATCTTGAGACCCTTTAGAGATAGAAGTTCTTAAGTTATTTTTGCCAGGGAGCAGCATTCCATGTCTGATACTTAACTTGCCATCTGTTTATCAGGAGCCCCTTCAGCTACTCACATTGGATTAGACTTTTTATCTTATTATTTTCACACTCAAAACCTCCTGGGTTAATATATTTTTGTCCAGCGATTATAAAAAGTCTTCTTTTAAAAGGTATTTTTGGCTTCTGGAGCCACCAGTCACTTTCATTGCTCATCTGTTCATCAGTTCCTGGATGTGTTCAGAGCATATGAAAAAGGTAATTTTTTAAACTCTACATTTCTTCCACTAGATAAACCAAATACTGCGTACATACACGTAAGCCCATCTAGTTAAACTCAAAATTACAGATGATGCCCATTCACATAACATAAAGGATTCTCCATCCTCTAGAGTTTGTTTCCTCAAAACTTTTACCACTGTAGAATTGTTAAATTTCGCCTTACACAATGGCCAGCCTCTGAAAGCATGAAAAAGTCCTCAGTGGATAGTGTGGAAACGGCCCTGCCACTGCTGCCCAGCCCTCAGACCATACGACTTAGCAAAAGGAAAGATTCTTTTTCTAGGAAAATGAGCCTCCTATTATTTTATTGTATTTTTTTGACACAAACTGTAGATTTTAGCAGCCCTGGCCCAAAGGAATTTGATTACTTTTGTTTTAAACAGTACAAAGGGGACACTATAATTAAAAAGAAAAAAAAAACTTACTGATTTTAGTTGTTTTTAATTTTATTTCTTTGACTATGTTTTCAAGAGTGGTCAATTGTGTGTGAGCATTACAAATGATGATTCTTTTAGTGGTTTCTTAGCCTCTCTTACAGCCCATGGGGATAGTACTGTACATCAATACCTTCATATGAAATTTTTTATATGCAATGAAAATAAAAGCATGGGTTGATTCTGCCTATTTATGACTTGGTCTTTTACAAATAAAAAGATGATTTGTTTTAAATTAAATTCAATCAGTACACATTTTGAAGGGTAATGAACATTGTTGAAAGGAGGATACTGACATTGTAAGTTAGTACTGAGATTCATAACCAAATGAAGCCAGATTAAATTGATTAATCCTGCTACATAAAGTATTTCGCAAATTACTCAGGTTAAACATGGTGTTTTTTAAATAGGCTTGAGAAGGGGCTTTCCTTGCTTAATTGATGATATTCTGACATTGAGAGAATGTCATCATTGCTTAGACATTCAGCAGTGTATTTTAGGGGCTTCTGCTCTGCAAACTGCAAGGTTTTAAGGATTCAACAATAAGTCAGTGGGACACACGAGTTTGTTTTGAAACTGGGTCTCACCCTGTCACCCTGGGTAAAGTGGTTCACAGTAACCGCATCCTACTTCACAGTAACCACAAACTCTTTGGCTCAAGAGATACTCTTGCCTCAGCCTCCCAAGTACCTGGGACGGTAGGCACCTCCCACAACATCTAGCTAGTTTTTCTATTTTTAGTAGAGATGGGGTCTTGTACTTTCTGAAGCTGGTCTTGAACTCCTAAACTCAAGCATTCCACCCGCCTCAGCCTCCCAGAGTGCTAGGATTACAGGTGTGAGCTACCCATGCCTGGCCAAGACGGAGTCTTTGCTTTCCTGGAGCTTATATTCTGAAGCAGGTCTCCTCAAACTATGGCCCGATGGCCACATGCAACCCACCTAGGACATTTATCTGGCCTTCTAGGTGTTTTTGCCTCCGTTGCCTGTCCTGCTTAGCAGCCAACTCATCCCGAGCCTGCAGTCCAGCCCTCCAGTGGTCTGAGGGACAGTGAACTGGCCCCGTTTAAAAAGTTTGAGGACCCCTGGTCTGGAGGGAACAAAAGCATTAACATCAGTACATAATGTATATTATAATTTGCTCAGTACAATGAAGCACTTTGGTGCTGTGATTTAAGAACAAACCTGAACTTGATCTATTTTGGAAGATCAGGGAAGGCTTCCTTGAGGAAGTGATTTCTGGTAGGGTACTATCTGAAGGGTAGTGGTAAGCAGAGGGAAAAGAGTTGATAGGAAGAGGAAGGGTAGACAGAGGAACCATCACAAGCACAAATATTGAGGTCTGAGATAATCTGAAGAAATTAACAGGAGGCCGGCGGTGGATCAGCAGGGTCTGGACCTGGGGACTGTTCCCAGCCATCTCTTGTGAAATAGGCCTTCTGGTTTTATTCTGAATGACAAAGTAATCCATTTTTCATGATAATGAGAGTAAATAAATCAGAATACATTTAATTCCAAAATAATCCCAAACCATAACCAATCCAGTAGTGTAACTAAATAGCCTCTTCACCATTTCCTGTCACCATGATAGAGAACAACAGGTGAGGGCAGCGCCTGTGGCGCAGTGAGTAGGGCGCCAGCCCCATATACCAAGGGTGGTGAGTTTGAACCCAGCCCCAGCCAAACTGCAACAAAAAAATAGCCGGGCATTGTGGTGTGTGCCTGTAATCCCAGCTACTTGGGAAGCTAAAGAAAGAGAATCGCCTAAGCCCAGGAGTTGGAGGTTGCTGTGAGCTGTGACGCAACAGCACTCTACCAAGGGTGATAAAGTGAGATTCTGGGTCTCCATTAAAAAAAAAAAAGTGATTGCCAAGAAATGCCTAATGCGTGCCTTTTAGGGAATTGTTGGTTGAATCTCAAATTCCCTTCCCAAACCCATGACCCCAAAGTGAGACTATGGCACTAAGGAACCAAATCCCTTTTCTCAGCTCATGCTGATTTAGGCACAGCAGCAAAATCCTCCACAGAACTCAAGAAAAAACATAAAAATCCCCCCCCAAACAAAACCTCTTCCCTGTTGCCAGTGAGATCCACCAGCTCCCCTGGGGGACGATAACTGCTTTCAATGGCTCGTACCTTTGCTTCACTGTCTTTCTGATTTGGAACTTTCTGTTCCCCCCACAGCTGCATTGTCTCCAAATACTCAATGTCAACTGGGTATAAATCAGTCCATGAGTTTGTGTGCTTCCTTTATTTCCTTTAAATCAATTAATTTGGACTCTGTGTCCCCATCCTATCATACTGTTGGGAATTTCCATCTGTCTTTATTGGCGTGTCCCCTTCCCTCCCCCAAAATAAAATTTCTGACAAGTTCTCTTATCCCCCTCCTGCCTTGAGCACCAGACCTCTGTGTTGTCCCAACTCTGGTGGTTCCTTACAGTCTCTCATCCCTTTGCTTCCTTGTCAGTACCTATCCTGGTGTTCTGCTAGGATTAGATGCCGAGGCTAGGAACCCTGGTTTGGGGCCCTACTTCCTTAGGCCTACTGCAGAGTGTGTATATAAAAAGAGCCTGTCCTTCTCCTGTCTTATACTATCTTGCTAAGGTCTGAATGATTGTGACCCCCCTCCCCCCAGATTTGTATGTTGAAAACCTAACCCTTAGGTGATAGTATTAGGAGATGGGGCCTTTCAGGAGACGATAAGGTAAGAGGGCAGAGTCCTCATGAACAGGATCATGAGGAAAGGGTCCAAGTGAGCTCACGTGACCCTGCCATCATGTGAGCACACACCTAGAAGGTGCCGTCTGTGAACCTTAAAGCAAACCCACACCAGACATTAAATCTGCTGGAGGCTTGAGCTTGGACTTCCGAGCCCATAGACTGTGAGAGAGGACTGTCTATTAGTTTATAAGCCATCCAGCTATTTCTTACAGCAGGCCAGTAGACTAAGACACAGCTATTTAAGTTGCTGCAAAAAAGTGCAAAAAATATAGTGCACTCCTTTTCCTAACCCTGGACACA